CCTGCGCAATTTGCAAACATGAGCCCGAGTAAATTGGGATGACTAAATTAAACCCTAAAATAATAATAAAGTGCCCGGCTTTATTTTAGCAAACTGGTTTTACCAGTTTTGAGTTACGAATGTTAATTATTAATAACTTTGGCACTAGGAAATACTTTTGGGTTTTTTTCCCTGCACAAAGTCCGTGCCTCGGCAGAAGATGTGCCAGGAACCACCGGTACCAAAGGGATCAGCAAGCAGAGACGAAGGCCGGTGGAATACCAGGACGATGCCCGAAGACGTCTTGTGAAGGGAGAGGGGGCACCTTCCCAGCGCAGAGGTGCAGGGCTGGTGGACCGCGGCGTGACGGCCGCGCTGCTGGCATCGCCATGCCAGTTCCTGGCTGTGATTGCGACCCAGGGCTTACCCTCTCAGTCTCTCTGACAGCCACTGCAGGAATTAACATCCAAACCCAACAGCAACTGTTTTTAGGTCTAAACCTCCCTTCTCGCTTAGCCTCGGGAGAAGGCCCCTGATGTGGAAACTTGCTGGTCTCGGGACAGTTTTTCCTCATCGGTTGTTTTTCTTTTGTTTCCTGTTGGTGTAAATGTTGATTTATAGATCTCTTAAGCAATGCAGTGTTTTCCAGGTCCAAATTTCAAGCTCAGAATCACTCGAGGCCAACAGCAAAATTAAAAATACATCCCTTATTAGCAATAGGAGAACAAGGAAGCTTCAAAAGCAGATAAGTGATCTGATCTCTTTGAAATAAATGGCAGAACTACGCCGGTTTCAGGAAGAGAGGGCTTGAGTAACACGGGCTGAAATAACACAGGTTGCTTTCACAATCTTTCATTAAAATAGACTCGGTCGCAATGTTTCTGCGTAATTCAGACGGACGTGTGCGAGGTATGCGTAAGTTCATGTCAAAAAGATGTGGCCCACTTTCATCTGAGTCTTGATTCTTAATTGTGTAAATGTTGGCAAGGTGCTTAAAAAAGTGTGTGTTTGCAGGCATCGATAAGTTCAATCCCACCTGCTTTTGAACATCCTGCATAAAGGTCAACACATTCTTTCCACTAATGAAGCACAAGGCAAAAGGTTTTCTTTTCTTCCCTTAAATGAAAGGGAATGTGATTTAATGGTCCTGAGTGTGGAAATTAAATGCCTTATATTCGCAACTGCTCACAGCCAATGCTCTCCCAGCCTCCATAACAACCTAAATGTTGTTTTCTTAAGGCAGATTTGTTTTAATATGCTTTCTCTTGCCAGCTGACCATTTCTCCAAGTCTCAGTTTTCTCCAAATTTCCCAATTTTCTCTAAGACTTTCCTTCCACTAACTCAGAACACAGCATGTTCCTGTGCTGTTCAAAGCCGACTTTAGGGATTGCTTAATACAGATAGAAAATTGCACAGAATTCATGTCCCTCTTGCCTTGGGATGTGCAATGACATTTCTCCAGATTATGCTGTGCTTGGACAGAAAGAAGTCTGCTGCAGCACCCGCCGTGCCGGAGTGCGGTGGCCTCTCCATGTTTCTCTCCCTCCCTGTGTGGAAGAAGGAGGTTTCTTCCACATCTCCCACATCTAACTGTGAAAGCAGGGTTGCCCTAGCCTTGCCACAGGTGCTGTTCACCCATTTTCAGAAAAGAAGAATTACTACCCGATGCCGACAACTCCTATCAATGGCCAGTCCAAGCGGTAACTCACTGCAAGTGCAGGGCAGAGTGAAATGACTGCTTAACAGGGCTGATCATCGGGAAGGCTTAGTGGCTAGTCTGAGCCGGTGCTAAACTGATCACCTGAGAGTATAAAGCCCAAAAGACAGAAAAAAGCCAAGGTGATGAAAGAGCACAGATTTTTGGAGCAGAGACAGTTGTCAGGAAATGGCGTCCCACACTAAAAACTTTAAGAACATCAACAAGAAGAAAAAAACAGTTGAGCCGATTGTGCCTGAAACAAAGACCAACCTGTTTATCTTGATATGTTTATTTTAAAGCCTAAGTTTGGAACTCGATTTTCAATGAACTGCCTCTCAGGAATCACAATGTGCAGCTTATCCCCTTTGATTTCATTGTCTGTGACAGCAGCTGATGGAATCAGGGACTGCAGACTTTGGGAAAGATTGTGTCACGGCGTCGCTGGGGTCAGACAACAAGATGCTTTCCTGGCATCTTTGGGATTGCACTTTGTTATCTTTGCAGCGTGCTGCAGCAGATAGCCTACAGGGCCAGGAGCTGCCGGGGCCCCTGCTCCAGCTCTGGCATAAAACAACAAAAGGAGAACTTGGGAAGAAACCCATGATGCTGGGTTATACCTAACAGCATCCCTGTCGCTACTCAAAATCAAAAGCAGTGATTCATAATCCTTGGTGCTGTGCTGGGTTTTACCCTAACAAGGTTGCTGGAGAGCAGGTGGAGGTGGGTAGGTTCACGAAAGGAGACTGGGCATCTGGAGGGTTTCTTACATCCCATGCAACCCCAATTAACTGGCCTCAACTGCACTGCGGCCAAGGCGGGGGTAGAGGGGAAAGTGGGAGAGGTCTCACATACACCTGCTGTGCAGCTCTGGAGAGATGCGGTGCAGTGCTGAGGATTCACCCTCCTCCTGCGGGATGTCTGCCACACCAAGGAGGGTGAGACAGTCCAGAGCCACAGCCACCAGATTGCCTTCCTGGGCTCTGCCCAGGGAGACCTGCCTTTTGGGGATCTGTTTTCTACCATGTATTGTATACTTTTCATAAAGCGCAACTGAGCTCAAGTTTTATTTACCTGTTCTTGCACGGGTTACTTTATTTTTGTTAAACAGAAATAAAACCCCGCTCAGTTGGCAGTTACACTTGTAGATTATTAGTACAGTGCAAAGGGCACATTTCTGAAGATTGTAGGCAATTCCAGGCAGGTTTCAAGCAGTTAACAAGTGCATACATACACAGATGGCACATGCAGACTTAAGATCATAAACGTTCAATGCTGAGAATGTCACCAGTGTCTGTGGTCAAATCTGTTCTCACCTGCTTTTTGAAAGCCCGACCATATCTTGTTGATAGTTATTTTACTTTCCTACATGAGCGAGGTCAGAAAGACCCCGCAATACGCTTTGTCACCAACCAAGACCTTGGGGCTGGTTTAGGTCAAACACCCTGTAGTGAGGTGCTGTAGGTCTGTGCTGTTGGTCTTTTGGTCCCTTGTAAGAAGAGGCAGTGTTGCTGAAGTTGATACCAGTGCTGACGCCAGGAAGTCTCTGGACCATGAGCTGTTTTTTCTGCTGGGCGGCCAGCATGCTTTCGCACCCCGGAGGAAAGGGGTCTGCGTGTGGGGGAGAGCCCTGCTGATGACTTTCACTGTACTTGCAGCATGTCAGCCCAGTGTTTCTTCCTTGAGAGCCTGTACCTAAGCAGGGCTTAACCTCGGGGGTCCGATTCTCAACAAGAGTTCAGGTTGTTGATTCCCACTGAATTTCCCCCAGGGGGATAACTCCTGTCTGAGAGTCAGGCATCTACTTCCAGAGGTGCTGATCCTCCTGTCCCAGTACCATTCAGTTAGCCTCACCAGCCCCTGGCAGAGGCAGCCAGCACGCTCACACAACTTGGCACCACCCAGGATCTCTTGCACCCAGCAGCTCTTCTGCTTCTAAGCAATCCAAGGGTGGTTGTGTTTCTCCAAGAGGCAAAATACCTTGAATTACTTATGGAAAAGAAAGAGCTTTATAAATTTTTGTCAGGCTTAGGCATCCTTGCTTTAATGTGTTTGCCCCATCTGTCATTGTTTTAATGGGTTTGCCCCATCTTTCAATTCAGATGTTCCCCAAACTCTAACAATGACTTATATAAGTGGCTCCCACCGTGGGACTGGTGCAAACAAGAACTGCACAATAAGCATCCTTTTTAAAGTCCTGTATGTAATGTGGGGACAATCGCACACAGCGAAGAGGATGAATTCTTGTTTGTGATTCTTTGCATGCGTGGGGCTGATTCATTGTATTTTCCCAGACCTAATGGTGGAGTTGCAGAGAAATAAAGAAAACGTAAAAAAATACCATCCGTTAGGTAACCAAAGGATGGTCCCCATGGATGGGTGATAGATTTGGTATATGCTGGAAGATGCAGGGAGGTGTATGGGTGAGAAGACCAAGTTGCTCTGGAGAAGAAGCCAGGTACTGAGATTACTATTATTGCACCTTCCTGCACCCTCCTTGGGGACCAGATTCTCTCAGTATCACCTGTGTGAAATATTTAAGGCACTGCTGCCCAATAGCCTCTGGAAAGGAAAAGACACTTCTAACTTCTCTGTGTCCCTGGAAGAATTTCTTTTCTGCTGCAAGAAAGGGTTTTTTCTCTTTGGCCATCTCCCAGTCCCCTTGGTCACTGCAGAAAAACTATGTGTAAGAAATCTCCCCCGTCCTCCCTATCTAAGGCTCCTCTTTTTCATTCTTCCTCACCGTTTAATTAGTAATCTTTAACTGATAATCTCTGTTAATAAAAATGAAGCATCTTACTAAAGATTCGGCTTCCTAGAACATTCCCAAGCAGTGTCAATATAAAATCAATTTATTCCTCTCTCGTCTGCATAATTCTGGAATGGAGCGATGCTAATAACTGCCTTCGCTCATTTCAGTTTTCTCATGGTTGCTGAAGCTGATGGCAGCAGTGAGACTTTGGCAGACCTGCCTGC